TGGATGCTTGGCAACTGACTCATATTTTTGACGGTTGCAGTGACCTGGAGTCATGAGAACAGCTTTTGCAACCTTCTGACAAGCAAAATCAACGAGGATGCAAGATTCACTTAACAACTCATTTAACAATGTTTCATTTAACAACATAATTTTTGGGCTCAATTGTGGTCATACGTCGAGGACTATCTGTATACGCCATAGTAATGTCATTCTTTTTTCCTTTTATATTGACCCATATGGATTCTAGGAGGTTTTCATCCTTGGTTTGGTGGATTTCTGTAAAGATGTAGAGATCTTTTATATATAATACACCTCCTCTTGATATCCTTCCATCAGTACAATCCGGTTATGAGTTTCAGTAATGGCAACTATATCATATTTGCCTTCATGTACTAAGTACTTCAAGTTCACCCTGTTTATTACCTAAACGTTCATGTATAGGCATTTGAGTCCTTTATGAGTCTTGGGTATGTTTCTTATATCTCCTTCTTTGTAACTGGGTTTTCCTTCCTTTCCATCATTCTCTACTCCATTGTGTTTTTTCTTTTTCTTCTTCTTTCTCTTTACACCTTACCTCCTTATATGATTGGTTATGTTGTGGTTTTCACTCGGAATTAGGAACTTTGCCTACCGGTGCGCTTTTATGTCTTTTTCCTGAACACCACCCATCCAGCAGTCCACCCACTCAGGAGTCCTCCCCCTATGCAAGTTACTTCGGCTTCCTCCTTTGGGGAGACCCAAAGGTTTGGGGGGCATCCCTATAGAGTTAGTGGACTAATGTTAGAAAGGCATTGGATAAAGCCGCTGAGCTATATAAAAGTTATGCAGATAAGAAATGTGGTGTCCATAAGCCCTTCAGGGTAGGGGATAAATTATCCATGATTCGCTTCAGCTACTCTCCCTTCAGCATTCCTCCAACAGTAAACAAAGCCAATTTCCTCAATTTTAGTTTAAAGCTTTTCTGATATGATGAGCCAGTTATTTTCCAAAAATATTCTTTCCAGTTCTTGTGAGGTTCAGTCCAATCCTTGACAGTAGCCCTTCATGTAGGTAATGCAGACCAGAGGTGGTATTCAGCAGGTTCTGACCAGTTCTGGAGAACCAGTAGCGGAAATTTTGAGTAGTTCGGAGAACCAGTAAATACCACCTCTGACTGGAGATTTTACAGTAGCTGTCAGGACTCCAACAAACCCATCCCCATTCAAATCAGAAGTCTCTAGCTGCATCTCAGAGAAAAGAAAATTGATTTATTAGAAGTGGACATGTTGGTGTTGGCGTTGGTGTTGGTGATACTAAATTACGTCATTCATTTCCCCCTTGACCCTGGTCTTCCCCCCACCCCCTGGATGTGTATTCTCCAATGGGACACATACATCCCCAAGAGTCATCAATCATACTCTCCAGTAATTTTCTTGCACTCCAGATGAATATCTAGGCACTTAAGGAATGCAATGTTTCCCCCCCCTCCCTTTTTCTGGCAGCTAAAAAGACCAAAGGAGTATCTTTTAAGTTGACAGTATCCTTCCGCTGCCACGCCCACTAAGCCACGCCCACAGAACCAATAGTAAAAAAATTTGAATCCCACGACTGATACAGACCATGGTCTAGGAAACCAAAGTTCTCTTGACAACACCAGTTTTTAAGCCAGTGATTCATTTCTAAAATCCATCTCATTGGATATTGACCTTTTGTTGGAAGTATAGATAAAAACACCACTTGTGCTCCTAATTCTTTAACTTTCTTCTCTAGTTCTTCATGAGGGGAGGTAGAGGTTTTTGCTCCCAAAGTTTACTAACAGTGGAGGATGGGAAAAGTGCATGCAGATGGTGAATTGGTTTGATCTTCCGTCTTTCCCTCACTTTGAATGGATATCACGTTTATTACTCTGTAGAAACTCTGCATTGTCTTTTTATGCTTTACTTTTGTATTAGAAAATGTTACATATTAGAAATGTACAAAATAGACTTTCTAGTAAACAGCAGTACAGAGATTTTTTAAAAAGTTTTGTGATGATTGTTGGGGCATCATTTTACATGGTAAAACTAGCATAACAGTATATTCTAGTGGTGATTTGATGATTTTCCAGAAATATGACAGAAAATTATTTCGGTCCCTAGAATTGTCCACAAGCCATTTCCTGTCCAGGAAAATTTATTTCCAGAAAACAACCAGATAATCTCCAAAACGCCTCTTTGCTTCCCACTCCAAATTAGCTCTACACTGATTATCCTTAAGACTTTGCCTCAATGAGTCTCCATGGCAGTGGTGGGATTCAATTTTTTTACTACCCATTCTTTGGGCATGGCTTGGTGGGCGTGGCAGGGGAAGGATACTGTAAAATCTCTAGTCAGAGGTGGTATTTGCCAGTTCTCCAAACTACTCAAAATTTCCACCACCGGTTCTCCACCAGAACCTGCTGAATAGCACCTCTGCCATGCTGTCATTAATACTGCTGAATTATGGCAGAAAAGACCCTGTGCTTTTATAATGTGTTTTCATTTATATAGCTGTCTATCTCACATAAGAGATTCTGGGCAGCTTAAAAGATTATAAAACCTATCAAATATAATCCATGGAACCCAAAAATAGTCAACACACTCATCAGCAATAGCAAAATAGTTTTTAATCTATCCACCTGACCCAATTGCCTGGGTCAGACAGCCAGGTTCTCCAATGCCTATTGTCTGCCTATTTCTGATCTTTGTTAGTACACAGTAACCACATTCCAGGATCTGAATAACTTCTCCATAGCCTTCATTGCTACTCTACCAAGGGCTATGCTGCAACGTATTCTTGATCACTTGTCTGTCAATGCTGTGTGAGTGTGTACGTGCATGTTCGCATGTGCCTTCAAGTCTGGTTTTTTGTTTTTTGTTTTACTCCAGGTGACTGCCTGGACTTGTCCCTGCAGTTTTCTTGGCCAGGTTTTTCAGATATGGTTTGCAACTGCCTCTTTCTTACGACAGTGACTGGCATAAAGTCACCCAGCTGACTTCATTTCTAAGGCAGGACTAGAACTCATGGACTCTAGTTACTAGCCTTAACTGCTACACCCAAAAACTGGCTCTATTACTTTATAATTGATCCTAAAAAGTAAGAAATATTCACTGCTTCAGTATCTTCATTGTCAATTTTTAGTGATGGGTGCTATACCTGTCATTAATTTGCTGTTCTTTATATTTAAGCTTAGTCCCATATTTTTATTATGCTTCTTTACTTTCATAGTTAAAGCTTGCAGATCATTGCATTATAACTATCAGAGTATGTAGTGTTGTCAGCACAATGCAAGTAACTAATATTTCTTCTTTCAATTTTAAAATTACACCTACCTTCTAATCCAATATATATTCATCAATATATATTCCACATATAGTATATGTTGAATATTACCAATCTATTTCACCATGTTCTTCTTCATTTTGGTCAACAGTTGTATCTGGCTTCTTTTCATTTAGTGCACTGATATGCTGAAGTGCTTTACCAATGTTCCTTTTCAATAAACATAGTGTAATGGTCTTATGTAATGTGGAAAATCCACTGTAAAATCTAATGGTCTAGCCATCTGGCAAAAATTGTCTCCTCCGTAGCCCATATGAAAGAGAAAAATTAGTGGATTTTTTTTCTTTTTTCACAGTTGGCGATACTTTGTAGCACAGTACAACAAAACTGAGAGAATCCATCATCTTTGTCATTAAATGTACAATATACATTGTAGATAAGGACAACACATTTGCAATCTTGCTTGTGGCAGAATTGTGGTAACAAATTTAATACCAGTATAATTTTTGCCTGGCAAAGGGATGGTAGACAGCATTTTAACTTAGCCATAAAGAATATCTGTAGATTTCCCTTTTCCTTTGCAATATCTCTGAGAGAAAAGAATCTGGGACCACAACATTTATTTATTAAAATAGTTATATTCTACCTTTTTCTTCAGTTCTAGGCAGCAATCATTGTGAAAACGGAAAACAAAGGAAAAAACATTACTGCTCTTGATATTTCTAGTATCTTAAATGAAGATACATTTTTCATTAATGGTTCCAAAATATTTTTTTGCATTTGTTGAAATGACAAATTCAACGTGGTACATAAATCAGGCATCATTCTTTAATAAGCACACATGAATAAATCATCACTGTCACTGTATGGTAACTCATTAAAGTATATAATTTAATTCAGACTGATCTAGGGAAAACACTTAATTGAAAACAATGAGATTTATTTCCAAGAAGTCATGTATAAAATTGTAATATGATTTCTGTCATAAACTTCCATAAATTGCTCATAAACTCATAAAATGTTATTCTATGTATGCAGTAGTGGTGCAATTAAATAATTTAAAATCTTTGGACCATAAGTATCTGAAAATGATACCAATATAATGATTTTTTTTAGTCCTACTTATTTGGAAATATGTTAAATCACAGACTGTGTCAGATCACAACACATTAAGTCAGTTGCCTTCATGTCCTCCTCAGATGCTTATTGTGTATTGTTTGGGAATTAGTATTATTTTGTTTTAATATAAAAATATACATGTGACGCTTATAACCGTATACAAGTCTACCTAACTGTCTCCAAATAAATATGCGATTATACCATATTGTAGTAAGTAAAAACAATATTTGTTGAGTGATGATATCTGAACCATTATCCGACCCATCGAGTCAGTTGTAGCAGCAACTACAGAAATGCCTATCGCAGTGGTTTTTCTTGCAAAAATGTGTTCCTGGACAAGGTACAGCTAGTCAGCACTTCGTGAAAACGTAGCTTTCCCGTCGAATTGGGACTCTCCTTTCTTCGCCCTCCTAAACCACGACAGGGTACACGCCTCTTCACGTCACTTAAGCTCTTGGATTTCTGAGATTCTTCGCAAAACTATTTTGTCGGAGAGCCGCCGGAACTGTAAGTATGATTCGCAGTTGCCGCCCGGTCTTTTGTTGCTGTCTCCCAGGCCAGATTGCCTTACCCTAACTACCTCCGTTCTCGCGGTTGCCAAGGTAACAAAGACCTTGGTGAGACAGAACAAGCAACGGACGACCGTTGTTTTTTGTGAAGCAGGCCTGCGGGCAAGATGGTGAGGGACAAGGCGAATCGGATAAGGCTAGATTAAGGGGCTTTTCTAAAGAGACGAACGGGCGAAAAAGACTAGCGGAGTCCTTATTATTCCCTTTACCTTGTTCTTACTTCTGTCGCTTTTGCAGATGCTCTCACGGCTGAAACCCGCTGTTGGAGGCGGTCCTCAGTCAGCGGATAAGCGCAGAAAGAAAGGCAAACGGCTGCCGCAGCTGGAAGATTTATTAACTCAGCGAGATTTCACTGGGGCCATTGCCCTTTTAGAGGTACTAGGGATACATTCGGGGAATATGGCGGGACGAGACTTCTGCGAGTGAAGTTGCTGCGGCCGCTTCTGGATTATTTGTTAACATATTTGTGTAGACTTTAGGAACAGATCAGTGCTTTTGGGGTTGAGGGGGGAGGAAGGAAAGCTATCCATCCACCTTCTTGCTACTTTAGTCAATTCAGACTAAGAACATCCCTGCTTTTTGCTTCTCTTATATTCCAGGGTGGCAAATATCACCTCTGCAAAATAGAAGTAAATCTGGAGTCTAACCCAAAGGTAATTTTTCAAGAAGCAACTGGACTTTGAAGACGTTTCGCTTCTCAGATGAGAAGCAAAAAGTCTTCGAAGAAAAACCAGAAAGTCCAGTTGCCTCTTGAAAAAGCACCTTTGGGACAACCATGACCTGGATGACTGAGAATTTCTATTGACATCTAGAATCTAACCACTTTATACAGTGGTCCTGGATAATCCACAGATTACAATTGATCCTCCTGGCTATAAATTAAATATAGCCATTATAGTTGGTGAATAATCATAGTATCTAAATCACAAGATTATGAACAAGATAGTACTTTATAATGACTTTATCAATTTAGGAATTAGGATTTTATAGTAACCATCTTAATTTGCTGGAGAAGGTAGGATAAACTGCTTGTTCACTTTGTAATAAGCCAAAATTCCTAGTTTGTCATGTGTGAACATGGCCATAAGCTAATGCAGTAGTTGTTCTACAAATCTATTCCTTTTGAGAGCAATACAACAGAAGCAATATTATTGAACTGCAACATGAATGAGCACTATGCTTGTGCATATATGGATAGTTTAGTGTGGCTTCTGAATGTGAGAATATGATTATTGCATCTGAACAAATTAGGATTAAGTTTATTTAATTTATTAGTTCATAAATTCCTAGCTTGTTTTCTTCAGTTCTATGATTAATACATTAAGATGTAAATACAAAACAGTCAAGTTTGCATCATGAACTGTGTGTGTCAACAATTCATTATAGTAGTTACATGCAGACACTACGCATAATCAAATTACAATGTTGTTGCCTTTTAAAAAACCTACATTTGCAATGAAAAAAGCAAAGTTGGAGTGAATGTATTGTAACCACACTTTGCACTTCACTCATGTGGTTTAACGAGCTAATGAGTACTGTCTAACTGACAGTGACAGATAGATTGATCGTATGGAGACCCTATGACCTTAATATCATCTTAGAGACATTTGTGGTGTTGCTAGTCAATAATCACATATGCATGATCACCTTAATACATTTCTGCCTGCCAGTCATAAAAACTGCCTATCGAAATATTTGTAAACATCTAATTACTTAATTTAAATGCAAGCCCTTCTTTTATACATGAGCTTCATATATACAGACTTTTGAGAGTGTCTAAATTAAAGCCCCATCACTGCCTAAATGGTGTATACTGTATGGCTGCAATCTATAAACTGATCATTTTAAAATAATTAAAAATTATATGAACTTGGTCACAGTTGGTTATCATTTTAATTTTTATTCTCCCTTCTTCCCAAGTTTAAGCGTCAGGTTGGAGAACAGGAGGAAGATGCAGATCTCTGGATTGGATATTGTGCTTTCCATCTGGGTGACTACAAGAGAGCACTGGAGGTGAGGTAGTGGTTCTTTGTCCTGAAAAGAAGGATGTTCTCTTAAATTTGTAAGAATGAGGATGAATTGCAGGTAGTCCTCAACTTACAACTACAATTGAGTCCAAAATTTACATTGCTAAGTGGGGAATTTTGTTGATTCCCCCCCCCCCTTTTACAACTTTCCTTGCCACATTTGTTAAGTGAATCAGTGCAGTTGTTAAATTAGTAACACGGTTGTAAAGTGAATCTGGTTTCCCCATTGGCTCTGCTTGTCAGAAAGTTGCAAAAGGTGAACACATGACCCTGGGACACTGCAACTGTCATAAATGTGAGTCAGTTGTCAAGCATCCAAATGTAAATCACGTGTCCATGGAGATGCTGCAATGATCATAAGTGTGAAATATGGTCATAAGTCACTATTTTCAGTGCTGTTGTAAGTTCGAACAGTTACTAAGTGAACTGTTGTAAGTGGAGGATTACCTGTAAATGTCCTTCAAAGTAATATAAAAGCAAAAATACTGGTTATAATATTTTGTGTCCAGAAGCCTAATGAATAAATTATATATAGTTTATTATTTTGACTTATTTATGAAATAACATGCATTAATTTATGATGTGCTATTTTTCAAAATTCTATGTTATATGAAGAAACTATTTCTAGAGAATCATTGTAAGAGAAAATGGAATTAATTTACACATAGTGATTGTATCACTATGACACTATGTAACATTGTTCCTCAAATTTACTATCTGTGAAGAATGAAATTTAAGATTGTAATGTATCTCATGGACCAGAATAAGTAAGATAAAATACCAGTATCTCAAAGGCTTGCATCTAGTTGAATGTATGTTTAAATATTGTAGAACAAAACGATAGTAGTACAAAGTTAGGGCTATGCAAAGCACTTAAATGTTTTGCAAAGCAGATTAATAAGAATGAAGTTTTTCTTATTAAACTGCAGAAGTAGTAGCATCTTCCAAGCAATACCATACAACTATTTTCAGGTTTTCCCAGGTTCCTTTTCCATGTGCATGCACATAAACCATTTCCATTGATACTTCTAATAGAGCAAAACTGCTGTGTATGAATACACTTGTAGAAATTATTTTGGAAAGGACTAAAAGCTGCAATTAAAAGGATGCAGCTTTTTCAAAATTTTGATGATAGCTGAAATATATCTACATTGGACATGGTAGTCATTTCTGTTTATATTTTTTTACTTATTTACAGTTCTTATGTGCTCTGGCTGGGTTATAAGAAGAAATAAAGCATAAATGTATCTGTGGTGATAAAGCAAGGCTGTATCAAAAATTATTATTTATTTAAGGAGTATGAGGATTTAACCAAGGGATCTGCCTGCAACCCTGATGTGTGGGTGAATCTAGCATGCACTTACTTCTTCTTGGGAATGTATACACAAGCTGAACAGGCTGCTTTGAAAGGTGAGTCTGATAATTAAGGTTGCTTTTTTATATATATTTACTGGCAATAAATTCAGGTGCACTATTGGAAATGAGCGGGGGGCTTGGTTGCACTGTGAAAATGAGGCATATGAATTAATAATTTTGAAAACTTAGGTATTAATTTTGTTTTCAGCTCCCAAGAGTAGACTTCAGAATCGTATGTTGTTCCATTTAGCACACAAGGTATGTATTTCAAAACATTAAATCAGATTTGGAAGTAGTTGAAGTATTTTGAAATCGAGTTCCTATCATGTGCCCCTTAAAATCTTATAAATACCCATCATATTATTTGTTTTCAGAGCAAGCAGTGTAATGCAAGGTACTTGGAAAAAAAGGAAGCAAAAGATGTTAGAGATAAGAGGGAAGGGGGGCGGGGAAGGAAACCTAACTAAATCTAAAAGCCTGTAGAGATTCTCAGTCATCCAAGTCATAGTTGTCCCAAAGATGCTTTTTCAGGAGGCAACTGGACTTTCTTGTTTTTTCTTTTTGCTTCTCATCCAGGAAGCTTCTTCAGCTCTGACAGGATAATGTGGAATGGAAGGGTTTATATTCCTTGCAGACAGCTGGTAATCTGCATCCTTTTAGCAGGTCATTGAACCACTTGGAGGTTTATCTGTGTCCTCGGGGTCACCTGAGTAGTGCTTCTGGGTCCTGTAGTCTGTAGTTCTGTAGGAGCATGTCTTCAAAAGAAAAAAAAAGAAGGTCCAGTTGCCTCCTGAAAAAGCACTTTTGGAACTAACTAAATCTAGTTGACACCAATACCATTCACTATATTTCTTTGTACCATGGAGATTCTGCTACAATTAATTTATTCACTTTTGCTCAGCTTAATATATACATACTCATAATGCTATTCTGAGCTGCATTGCCACTTCATAAAAATACAGCAACTTTTACACCTTCATCTTGGTATTCAAATTCTGAAAGGCTTGTTTAAATGAGAAAGAAGTTCTCTAGGTAGAATGATGAAATGAAAAACTGAAGTACTAAGTAAACACAGAAGACAAAAGCCTCAAAGTTTCATGGTGACAAGAATTAAGATAACTAAGAAATAAATGACTCTTGTAGACTGCCTGAACTCTGGAAAAATTATTGGTTTCTAATGAAAGATGTTAGAGGAGAAATATGGTTAAATATTATTTTCAGCAGACAAAGTATTAGAATATCTGTAAGGCATCCACTTGTCTCTGTCTTTAAATCATATTTCCTTCTTAGTTTGGTGATGAGAAGAAACTGATGAACTTCCATCAGAATTTGCAGGATATAACAGAAGACCAGCTTAGTTTAGCATCTATACACTATATGCGATCTCATTATCAAGAAGCTATTGATATCTATAAACGCATACTGCTTGATAACAGGTTGGTTCAACTTGTCTCTATCTATTTAACAGATAATTCGGAGGCAAAGGCTAAAACAAATAATTTCATAGGGCTTTTTGATCTTGCAGTGTTTTAGCTATCTTTTGCTGAGTTTAAATATTGCCTTCTGAGATCTTTCTTTAAAATGTTACTGTAAAATCTTTAAATTTTTGATCCAGTAGTGACTTCGGAGTTTAGCAAAACATACAGGGAATGTGGACACTTAAGGAAAAATGCTCATGAAGGTGCAATTATAGATTCATATTAGATATTTGTGATTAGGATTGAGGCTGTTATTTTTTATGAATATTTTTTATATTTGTACCTTGTGCAAATTTTAAATGATTTAAAAATAATTTTTAAATAATTGGATAACTCTAGCAGGACATACTTCAACGTAGTGGGGTTTTTTCCTGTTTAAATTAGATTCTGATTAAAAAAGAGAAAGACGAAAATTAAAATCCAAGTTGTTTGTATGAAGAAACCAGTGGAGGAGAGAACACTGTGTTCACTATCTTGAGTCTCTCAAGAGAGCCATTTGTTTATCAAATAATTGACAGATTTATTTTCATTTCCTTTCTCATGAATTTTTCACGGAAAACAGCTTTTTCACAACTGTTGCACATTATATCAATCTTCAGTGAGTTATCCACTATAATTCCAAATTGTTTTTCTTGATCAGTTAGAAACAACATAATATAAATTTATACCACAGTGTCCATGTTTTTTTCTGATGTTTGTTTTTTTAAACAAATGTAAAATTATATGCCCAGGATACTGGGCAACAATTTTAGTGTTCCATTAGCTGACAGTTTCACACCTATACCATAGATATTTACTTTATCACAGTTTGTAGCAAGATAAAGGTATTAATACCTTGTGCCATTCTGATTTTCATTGAAGTAGTAATGAAGGGAGCTGGATATTTAGGGTAATTTTTAATACTTAGATATATATACTGGGCTTTTCTAAATTTTATATCACTGAAACTTAGTTGAATTTCATAAAGCAGTAATTATATTAATATGATGATGAACTTTCATTTGGCAGGGAATATCTGGCTCTCAATGTATATGTGGCCTTGTGTTACTACAAGTTGGATTACTATGATGTCTCTCAAGAGGTGCTAGCTGTTTACCTTCAACAGGTTCCTGATAGTACCATTGCTCTTAATTTAAAGGCTTGTAATCATTTTCGACTCTACAATGGGAAAGCTGCTGAGGTATTTTGTTACTATAATTTAATCTCTCAAATCATTTTTCAATCCAAGTTTAAATTTTGCTATAACATTTCAGTATCTATTTTTGAGAAATGCAAATTCTTTGCAGTTTGTGTATAGCTACTTCTATTAGTTCTGATACTATGCAGAACAAACATTTTAATCCTATAGTATTTTGTATAATATGGTCATTTAACCAAAATGTTTATTCCTTTGGTTACCATTGTTAATAATATGACCTATTGTTTGTTTTTTAAATTTCTTTACAAACTACAAGGCAGAGCTTAAAAGTTTGATGGACAGTGCCTCAACATCATTTGAATTTGCTAAAGAACTCATTAAGCATAATTTGGTAAGTAGCAATGGGGTAGCTCATTTAATGTTACTTATGCAGATCATGCACATCATCAAAGTACTGTTTGGTCAATTTGTCCAGAAGAGCAATTTATTGATTGGGCATGAGCTATGAAAGTTGCACTTATATTTACAGAAGAGTTCTTGAAAAAGAAATCCCATTTATGAAGAGAAAATAATACATTTATTACACACACACACACACACACACACACACACACCAATGCTTATTATATATTTCTTCATGGGCCTTTGATTTTGATTTTGCTTACATTGATTATCATATTCATGCACCATCATTAACCTATTCCTGACTTTTTTCTTTTCCTATCATGTTCAAATATTTATTATTTCTTAAAAAACCTTATGAGTTTTTGAAGAAATAATATATTCTCACCAGCTTCATTTTGATGTAATTTTTCAGATGTGTCATTTTTCAGATGACGTTATCTGTGTAAACTTGATATGTTTTTCTCTTATGATTCTGCTTATGATGATATTTTTCTTGAAATTAACTTTTTTCACAAGCCAAAATAATTTAAAGATATATTTGTTTATTCCATGCACAATTCTTCCTTATATCTCTTTTACTAGCTTTTCATTCCCTCCCTTATATACTGTTGTCATCTTATTCTACAGCTACTAGATATTTTACAGCGTTACCCTATTAATAACTTTAACTTATCCAAATCAATCATCTTAAGATGTCAGATAATATTCTTAGTTCTGCTTTCTTATCCTTGTTGCTGTTTGAAACACTCTTCTCTCACAGATCATATACTTGGTCACCTCTTACCTCCCACCTTAAAATCCATGCTTTCTGCAAGGTCTTGTGTGTGATCGTTTTTTCCTTCTTATCAACTGTATCAAAGTTTTGGAATGTATACATAGTGGCTGTGTCTGAAAGTGCTGTATATATTGATAGCATTAAATAATAAAGATGTCACTATGATTTATTGGGTAAATATTTAATCTGTAAACTACAAAAGCAATGGAGTAATAAGTGACATATTTTCATCGTTCATGATAAACTGTCTAGTACAATAAATATATTTAAAACATGCATGGGATTAAATTGTAACTTGTTTGCTACAATACTAATACAGTGAGTACTTCTACTTACAGGTGGTATTCCGAGGAGGGGAAGGGTCTCTCCAAGTACTCCCTCCACTGGTTGATGTTATTCCTGAAGCTAGACTGAATCTAGTCATTTATTATCTTCGGCAAGGTGAAAAAAAAATATATATCTCATTTTACATTTTTTATGTCTAAATATATTTTACATATTTTATATTTCTGTTCATGTTTTTAGCAATGTTTTTCTACCAAATACAAAATATATGTACTTTGTTTTGAGGATTATTGGGGGAGGATTATTGGTTGCTTACTATTTTTTATTTATGGTGCTTCATGAGCTAACAAATTATGTCAAGCAGGATATCCCTGGAGGAACATATGGAATTCTTTAAGGTACTGCAGACAAATGTTTATGTTTGCCATCTGTACTTCAAACACATTTTTGCTTCCAATTACAAAGTCCTGGATAGTCCTATTCTTTAATGTCCTTTTTAAAGGAACATGTGATTTTTTTGCTTAAGGCAATCTATTCAATTTCTTCTAATTCTCTTCTAATTTAGCTGACCTATGTAGGAACAAAAACTCAAACATCACTAACTTCAGCTATAACAATAAAAGAAATCTCTAGTCCCTCCTCCCACCTTGAGATTTATTTTGAATAGCATACTTCAAAACCATATGTTTTGATCGTGGGCTGATCTTAGTTATTGTTATTATTCTGCAATTGTCACATTGACCCTGGTGTGCTATTAAATAAAATCCCCCCCAAATGCTTTTCTCTGATTGTTTTGATTTGTTACTCTAATAAAATGTCTCATTTAGTAATTAAATACATCCTTTAAGACTATTTTAAGACTTAAAGAACAACATTATGCAAATATTTACCATCTTTTTTGTCAATAGATGAATAAAAGTGTGGGAGAGGTATAGTATTATATACTATAATATTATATACTGTATTGTATTATTTCAGATGATGTACAGGAAGCTTACAACTTGATTAAAGATCTGGAACCTGCAACCCCTCAGGTTAAAAAAAAAGTTTATTCATTGTTGCACACTAGAAGAAATTATCTTTGAAATGTTATAGGATAGAATTAAATTCTTGTACAGTCTTTGCATTGCTTTGGAGTGGGCAAGGCACGTGATTGCTCACTGATAAGTGGATCCTCCTTCCAATTTCTTTTAGTTTTCTCTCATGATAATATCGCATAGTAACGGGGCACCAATTGTATAAAGTTAGCACCCATCCTTCTCCTAGAAGAATGAAATACTTTGAGAAATATTAAAAAGGAAGAATATATTTCCCTGAATGGAAAATAGAGAAACATGTTTTCTTAGAGGGAGAAAGCAACCCCCACTTTCCTTAATAGCCCACAGAAGATGTCAGTACTTAAGAGATAGATAGCTATATTCATAGGCAAAAATTCCCTGCAGCAAAATTCCCTGCAGCAACAAAGGCAGAATGGGATTAGCCCTCACTCAAGATGTTAATTTGTCTCTTTAGCTTGGCATTTTGTAGCCCAAATATGCCCACCCACTTTCTGGAGAGCTTAAATTACCTCTCTGCTAAAGGGTTTCACTTTATGAGCAAGAGTAACTTGGCTGTTGATAGTTATCCTTGTATTTTAACTATTTTAATTCCTCAGTGTGCTCTGGCATCCTGCCTGGTTTGTAACTCTGGGTTGCAGGTATTGCTGAGGAAAAGGAAAGTATTCAGACAGAATGGTTTAAGTTTCCATGATGACTGTGACTCATTGATCTCCAGTGTGGATTCCCCCATGTCTAATCTAATGACTGGTATTTAGGGCAGATTTTTGCAAGCAAAGAAGCTTTTTGTATTTTTGTATAGGTAATCCTTGACTTACAACAGTTCTTTTAGCAACCATTTAAAGTTACAATGGCACTGAACATTTTTCACAGCATCCCCATGATCATGAGAGGGCGGGCGAGGCGAAGTGCCCCTCAACATAAGTGACAGCCCACTCAGTCACATGACCACACAGCCATGCCTACCCAGCCAGTCATCAGGGCAGAGAACCAATTGTTAAAAAAATTGAAGCCCATCACTGTATGATATACAATATACGTGGTTTAAGTTTTGAAATTTTATGATGAAAAACTATATTAAAACAATGGACTTAAATGTTCCATTTAAGTGACTTTTATAGGTTTTTATGGATATGTCCATTTTCTGATTATTTCACTTATTTTGAATTCATTATTGTTACTATTATTATTTAAAATAGTTTCTTTAGCTGATGTATACTTTAAGAACCTGGAAGATGCCAAGATAAATTTCTGGAACCTTGGTGGTTCAACTTAAAATATATGTTTGTATAATGGAATACACCTACAATTTTAGCAGAAGAATGAAATGTATGACTGATCAGCCTTTTAATGGTTTGAGTGCCTTTTACATTTAACTTGGCTTACTAGATACAATTAGAATCCATAAAGATTTGTATTTACACTATAATCTGAATAAAAGAATTGCAAATTGCTTTAAGCTTCGGGAAACAAATTGCACAATTTAATTATTTTTTTAAATATTTTTAGGAATATATTCTGAAGGGAGTAGTGAATGCAGTACTTGGGCAGGAAATGGGTTCAGTGAGTATAACAATTTCTGATAATAGTAATTTATGAAGAATCTATAAATGGCCAAATTGAACACGGAAGCTGATTGAGATTTTAACTTGAGCCTTTCTTACATAAATTTCTTATGTTATTTAATTATAACTTTTAGGCAAACTAGAGCTGCCAAGAAACAAAAAGGTTCATCTCACCCAATGCTTGGGTTCATCTATTTTCAAAAAAATAAAGTTTTACACAGAAATTTAAAAAACGATTATAATTGAATATGCTCATTAAGATCAAAACATTTTGGAAGGAGAAAATGGAAAACAAAATGAACACAATGAAGAATGGAACTAGGCATTCAGGAAATAGAAAGGGAAAAATATTCATCAGTACAATAAAAGCCCTATTTCTATACTGTTCTTTTTCAGAGAGATCATTTGAAAATTGCTCAGCAATTTTTCCAACTGGTGGGAGGATCTGCTAGTGAATGTGGTATGTTTTAAATGTACTGTGTTCTTTTTTCATCAGACTTTAATTCTATTAAATTTATTATGTGATTCAATGAAACTTATCTTCTGCATGTTACTGTTTGTATTTGCCAGTGACAAAGGACATTGGAAGCTCATGACTTCTCTGATCGTCCCAGACAAATGATTCTCCAATCTTTACTTGAAAAAACTTTCAGTGTGGGAGTAGCCATAATTCCATGAGGCAGTCTGTTCAACTGCTTAATAGCTCTTATTATCAAGAAATTCTTCCTTACTTCAAGTTGGGTCACCTGTCAGCCCTTTAAGGCAGACCAGAACGAGAAAGAAATGTCACATGGGTCTTAAAGCTATATTTATTTTTATTAGAACAGCTATAACAGCAGTCCCTAATGTTTTGGATGCCAGGGACTGGTTCCATGTAAAGTGGTTTTTCTGTGGATCCTGGAAGGCATAGTTTCACACATACATGGATGGGGCTTCACTCATGTGGCCCACTTCCTGATAGGCTGTGCCAGTGGTTGGGGACCCCTGAGCTATAGTGACAGAATATTACCAGTCTAATATGCTTACCTCCTCCCTCACTTTATCTTTGTATGGATTAAAGAGGAGCCTGTCTGAGGCATCTTCTTGTGTCTTGGAATGGGTTCAACAGGCACTTGTCTGATTGTTTCCTTGTGATGGATCTCCCCTCTATCCTTTAAGGTATCTCTATGCCTTCTACAGGTTCCATCAGTTGGTTCTTATTCTACTGTTGGAAGCTGTGGAGAATAAAGTGATACCTTCTTCCCTATGACAGCTCTCCAGTTATTTGAAGACTGCTGTTCTGTCTTTGCTTAGCCTTGTATTCTTTAAGTTAAACATATCTGGTTCATGTAACCATTTTCATAGACTTTAGCCTCCAAGCCCCTCATCATCACTGCTGCTTTTCTAGTCATTCTTTCTAGTCCTGTAGCATACTTCTTTGATTATGGTGACTCAAAATTGACATAGTACTCCTGTTGTCCTCTAATCAATGTAGTGCAAAATGGAACTATCACTTCCTGTGATCTTGACACTATTTCTCTTGATGCAGCCTAATATTATATTAACTATTTGGTACCTGCAGCAGACTGGCTCATGCTTAATCTATGGTCTACTGGGATGCTTAGTTTCTTCCAAGTATTATTGCCAAGCCGATCTGGTGTTTGTTACTTAAGTACAGAAACCTACATTTTTGCCATTGGACTGCATTATATTGGATAGGGCCTGATGTCCAAATCTATCAAGACCCTTTTGAATCTTAAGTCTCTTTTCAGGTGTTCACAATTTGTCCTTTCCCATCCCCATTCTCCAGTTTTGTATCATCTGCAAACTTGATGCACATTCTTTCTATCTCCTCATTAAGTAAGCCATATTTGACAAGTTTGAAAAGCACTTGAGTTATTCTACTGCATCTCTCTCTCCATGTAATAGAACCATTAATGGCCACACATTGAACATAGTTGATCAGCTGCAAATCCAACTACTGGCAATAGTGGAACCATCCATTCATTGGTGAATTTGATGAACAAGGAAGAAATATATCCATAGCATTCACATGGTATATTACTCTAGTCACTTTGTCAAAAAAGCAATAAGATTTGTTTAGATTGATGTATTTTTAACAAAACCGTGCTGGCTTCTAGCAATCACTTTACATCATAGTTGCTTGGTACCTTTCTGGACATTTTTGGCACCTTCACTCATGCTAACATGAAACAGCAGAAGGAATAATGGTCAATAGATTTGATTAATCAAATCTACATCAGTGTCTACATCACATCCTGAATGTTGGAGACAGCACACTTCTTTTTATACCTTGTCTGGTCTGTAGAGTACCACCTCAGTTCCTCTCAGTAATGAGTCACCTATCATCACATATGGCAATTCTTTGGAACAGCCATTGGATTCCTCACCTCAGTAGGAGCCAGAGCTTCTGCCCTTTCTGTCCTTGGAATGCTGGGTGAAACCATTATCCAGAAATCTGCTAGTTATCCACCAGCAACAGACCTGAAATTGACTACATAATTTCAGCTGTAAGTTCTTTAGGTCTTCTCAGTTTCATGCTGCCAGAACTCCTTTTCCAGGGCTCCTGCTTTCTTTACTGAATCCAGAAATACCTTGCTTTTCCTGATGAGCCTCAGTGTGGCCAGGCATGCCTTTAAACCATTTACTTTCTTGTACAACAATACAATGAGTTTGCAGTTGCAGTCTTCCTTGGTAGGACACAAGTGTGACACAAATCTTATTGGTCATAATGGTGTTGCATCCATGTGTATGACTTTCTGAAGGTGGTCCAGCTTCAAACAGCTGCTCTCTTTAGATACTTCCTTTGCCCTTGAGAAGAAGAAAAACTCTCCTCCTCCCATCTTATTCCTGCTGGAAAGTGAGTGGGAGGAATCATTGTACTGTAATCTGGCTATTTATGATGGACTCTGTAGTTAGTAAAAGTAAGGTGAAGAATTTAGGTGCTTTATGCAGCCTATGCCTTCCCTACTCACCATGGAATCTGGCATTAAAAAAATCTAATATGACAAATGTATTGATTGTTAAAGTGTTCAGAATGTTTTGCCTCTCTGAAAGCAAATTATAAGGGCTTATTAGTCATAACTTGACATTCACACAAGTAACTTCAAACTAATATGTGAAGCAGATTCTAAGATTTTTACTTAGATAAGTATATTGCTTAGTTTTTGTTTGTTTTCTCTAGTATCTTTCTATAATGACTTAATCAATTTCAAATTGTTTCCTATCTGTCAGCAAAGTAAAAAATATATATTGTGTCGCTTTCTGGCATCTTGGTAGTAGTTCTGAAAACAAATAAAGTAAGTGTACTCTCCAACATTTTTGCTATCCTCAACTCATTTGCACTGTTATTCTTCAGATACCATTCCTGGGAGACAGTGTATGGCTTCTTGCTTCTTTCTACTCAGGCAGTTTGATGATGTCCTAATATATCTCAATTCAGTGAAGGTTAGTAAAAGTTACAATTGTCTTGTATACATTCATGTATGTCTGTTTATTAGTATTTCAAAAAGTGGCTATGTACAAACATAATACTAGAGAAGAGAAGAAGACTATTTCATCAAGTGTCATAGAAAATCCGGTGATTTTTAATCTGGCTTTTAATCTGTGATATTTTCAGTGAAAATGTTGCTGTGGTGCCAATGATTTAATTTTGGTCTTGCTAGAATCTATATTGGATTATGTGGTTGATGCAATCTGGATATCATGGAAGTTTCTATAGCTGCCTCTTTCTATTGTCTCCTTACTGTACAATAGATAGTAAACATAAATATACTGGTATCTATGATGGTAAAATCTCAGTTTTATCATCAATAGTAGTAACTGGGAGAGGGATCTTGGAGTCCTAGTAGAAAATCATTTAAATATGAGCCAGCAGTGTGCTATAGCTGCCAAAAAAGCCAACACAGTTCTAGGCTGCATAAACAGGGAATTGTGATCTGATTAAAAAATCAGATGGATTGTTTGGTCAGAACCCTATTTGGTCGCAAACAGAAGCGTTCGTGACCCGAGGTTCCACTGTACCACTTTATAATAATGCCTTGGTAAGGCCATACTTGGAATACTGCATCTAGTTTTGGTTGCCACGATATAAAAAGGATGTTGAGACTCTAGGAAGAGTGCAGAAAAGAGCAACAAAGATGATTAGGGGACTGGAGGTAAAAACATCTAAAGAACGGTTGCTGGAATTGGGCATGTCTAGTTTAATGAAAAGAAGGACTGGGGTTACATTATAGCAGTGTTCCAATATCTCAGGGGTTGCCACAAAGAAGAGGGAGTCAAGGTATTTTCCAAAGTACCTGAGGGCAGGACAAGAAGTAATGAGTGGAAACTAATCAAGGAGAGAAGCAACCTAGAACTAAGGAGAAATTTCCTGACAAAACAGTTACAGTAATCAGTGGAACAACTTGCCTCCAGAAGTTGTAAATGCTCCAACATGAAATTTTTAAGAAGAGATTGGATAACCATTTGTCTTGTTTAGGGTTTCGTGCCTAAGCAGGGGATTGGACTAGAAGACCTCCAACTCTGCTGTTCAATTCTGTTCTGTTCTGTTCTGTTCTATTCTGTTCATATGTAAAAAAACAAACTTGACCTATTTTTAAGTCAGTCAGAGCCTTATCTTTATTGTGTTTATATCTCACCTTTCAGCCAGGTTAGTTAGCAAATACAGTTTTCCCTCCCCTGTTCTCCATAACAGCAATCTTATGAGGTAAGTTGAGCTGAGAGAGAATGATTGGCCCAAAGTGAACTCTTGCAATTGACAGTGAAATAGAAATCTATGTTAGCTTGTTCAGCACCTGCATTGCATTAGCTTTCATATATTAGCCCTAGCAACTCTTATTTCTTTATATTTTTCTTTGCTGTACACTACCTAGAGTCTTATGATTGAAATAGTTTACAAAAATGGTAAATAAATCGCTTTTAAATGCTTTGATTGGGATAGGTTAAAAAATTGTAAATAAATCTCTTTTATATGCTTTGCATAGCCCTATTTTTTCATGAAATGCCAAGCCAAATGAAAACATATTCAGTCCCTTTACTTGCCAAATCTTCTTTCATTAAGGGATTCTCTGGCATTAGAGCAAAATCTGAGGAAGCAACTGGGGCTGGCCCTCAGATATAGTATGTAATGCCATCTTTGCTGTAATTGATTTTTCCATTTTCCAATTGAAAACTAGGTGTTGCCTTTAATTTAAAATATTTGGTGTATCATTACTTTTAGCAACTAGGTAATAGTGCCTGGTAGATTTTTGGTATTTGTGAAAGGAATGAAAAATTTGGCAACTAAATCAGATTAGAAATTGAAAGCACACAAAAACCACTTAATAAAATATACAGAGATGATCAAAATAGTACACAAAGGGTGATGCATTTGTGAAGACTGATGTTAATCTACACATGATGATTCATTATTTGATAATATAATTAATATACTTAAACATTCCATACTGATTGACACTTAACATTAGTTGGTACCTTTCCATTTTCTGTGTTCTAAACCAGTATGTCTAGATAATGTTTTCTACTTCCCACACCGCTAAAGATATCAGCATAAAAGCAAACTTTTCCACACCACAAGGAGAGTGGTATTTTTCTTCCTAGGCTGCAACTTGGCATGAATATGGACAAAATGTTATTATAATATGATCTACATTCCCTTATGCAGCAATGATTACATTTTATAATTTCTGAAATTCTTAATTATCATTTATGCTATTTAATATATGAGAATATACTGGTAATCAGTTCATCCATGGAAAATCTAAAGAAATATAATACTGTATGTTATAGTCTTATTTTTTATTTTATTTGGTTTGTGAATTGCTTACAAGATAATAGGTATAAGTAAAAACATAGTTATGAATGCATGGATACATATAAGAAAAATAAAAGAAACAATAGGACAGGGACGGTAGGCACGTTGGTGCGCTTATGCACGCCCCCTATAGACCTCTTAGGAAAGGGGTGGGGTCAGTAGTAGAAAATCTAAGGTTAAAGTTTTTGGGGTTTGGGGAAGAAACCACAGAGTCAGGTAGAGTATTTCAGACATCTGTTGCTGAAGTCGTAGTTCCTGCAATCAAGTTTGGTGCAGTTAACCTTGAGTTTGTATCTATTGTTTGCTCTTGTATTGTTATGGTTGAAGCTGAAGTATTGAGAGGCAGGACATTGCAATGTATGATTTTATATACTATACTTAGATCGGACCGAATTCGGTGTAGTTGTAGGTTTTCTAGGTCTAGAATTTCGAGTCTGGTGGCATAAGGTATTCTGCAACGAGTAGAGGAGTGGAGAACTCTTCTTGTGAAATATTTCTGGACTTTCTCAACTGTGTTAATATTAGATACGTAATGTGGGTTCCGGACTGATGAGCTGTATTCGAGTATTGGTCTAGCAAATGTTTTGTATGCTCTAGTTAGTAGTGTAATATTACCAGAGAAAAAGCTACGTAAGATTAGGTTAACAACTCTTAATGCCTTTTTGGCTATGTAGTTACAGTGGGCTCTAGCCCTTAGATCATTAGAGATGAGTACTCCAAGATCCTTGACAGAGTTTGGATCATCAACAAGGTCTTGACTATTCAGCCTGTATTTTATTTTCTGATTTTTTTTGCCAATATGAAAGAGACAGCATTTATTTGTTGAGATTTGAAGTTGCCATTTGTTTCACCATTCTGATACATAGTTGAGGTCTTTTTGAAGGGTTGGCAGTATTGTCTGTAGTGTTGAATAGCTTTACATCGTCAGCGAAGAGAACGCAGTTGCTCTTGATATGATCACAGAGGTCATTTATGTAGAGTATGAAGAGAGTTGGTCCTAGAACACTGCCTTGGGGGACCCCACTGTTGACAGGTACAGAATTTGATAGGATGCTTCCAATTTTGACTATTTGTTGTCTGTTTGACAGGAATGCTTCTGTTCAGTTATGCAGTTGTCCAGAGATACCATAAGATTTTAGTTTTAGGAGTAGTTTGTCGTGTACCACTAAATCAAAGGCTTTATAGAAGTCTATGTAGATTGCGTCTATTGCTTTGCCCTGATCGAGTTGTGTTGTCCATATGTTTTTGCAGTGTAAGAGTTGCAGATTGCAGGATAGTTTTTTTTTCTGAAACCAAATTGTTTATTAGAGAGTAGGTTGTTTGTCTCTAAGTGGAGGATAATGGATTGGTTAATAATTGATTCCATGACTTTACAGGTGATGCAGCATAAAGAGATTGGTCTGTAATTTTCAACTAGGCTGGGGTCTCCCTTTTTGAAGATGGGGATGACCGTGGCTTGTGACCATAGTTTTGGCAAGGAGCTGGTGCTGAAAGATTTTTCAAAGATTATGCTTAGAGGTTTGGCTATGGCAGTGGATAGCTTTTTTAAGAAGTAGGCACATATTCCATCTGGTCCAATAGATGGAGATGGTTTTAGATTGCATAGTGCTTTTTCAACATTGTCTTCTGTAAAATCGATATGTACTAGATCATTGTAGCTGTCTGTGGTTCGACTAGGAAATACTGGACATGATACATTGCTGTTTACAAATACTGAGCCAAAGAATGTGTTAAAGAGGTTGGCTTCAATGGTGTCATCGTTGCAGTCTTTATCATTAGGTCCTTTCAGGGGTGGGATGGACCTTGAGTCTTTTAGTTTGTTGTTTACAAAATTGTAGAAAGTGCGGGTGGAATTGGTGCATAGAAGATTTTCCTCTTGTTTAATGTGATAATTGGTGCATTCAGTCTTTATCTGGTGGCATAAATTTTTGTATTGGCTTTTGAAGTTGGCAACCTGACCAGATTTGTTTTTCCACCAAAGTGATCTCTTTTTTGATTGAAGCTTCCTTATTGTTATGGGTAATCTGTTTTTTCTGGTTTTGGGAGTTGTTATTGGTACATATAGTTTGATGACTCTTTTGACTTCAAGTAAAAATATGTTGTAATGGTCTTCTACAGTATTGCATCCAGTGAATAGAAATTGCCAATCAAGGGATGAGAGATCGTTGTCTATCAGATCATAGTTGCCTTTTTTGAAGTTATAATTGGGGATCACATCGTTGTGTTGATTTTTGTGTGGATGTATGTTGAGACAAAAGTCAATCATGCTGTGGTCACTGTTGGAAAAGTGTTCTTTAATTTGTATTCCATAAATTGAATTCAAACTATTGCAGAAGATGAGATCGAGGCAGTTGTTAAGTCTAGTATTGTTGGTTACTAGTTGTTCCAGTCCCAGGTTTGTTACAGCATTGTAGAAGGTTGCATGTTTGGGTTCAGTTTTACATTCATTTAGCATCCAGTTAATGTGAGGTAGATTGAAGTCACCAAGAAAGATAAAAGTGTGTGGGCAGGATGTTGCCCATGTCAGTAGTGAATTTAGCTTGTTTACATGTTCGATGTCATAATCAGGGGCTCTGTAACATAGTAAGAATCAAAATGTGATATTTAAGGACAGTTCACAGACGATAGTCTCAGGAAGAGCAAGCTCTTGGGTAACTTGGATGGTTTTTAGATGTAAGGACTTTTTATAGAAGATAACAACACCACCTCCTCTACAGATTTCACGATCTGATCGGTAAACATGATAGTCTCTTACTGTGGTAATGGAGTCAGGGAGAGATGCATTGAGCCATGTTTCACAGACAAATATGATGTCGAATTTAGTCATATTTAGTAAGAGGAGAAATTCAGGTATTTTATTCACAAGGCTTCTTGCATTGAGTAGCTTGCATTTAAGGCCAGTTGTAGTTGGAATTGAGGTAGTTAGGGGCGTGCATGCCTAGTTTTGAGTGATGGTGGGTTGGATGAGGTAAGGTTGGATGTGGAGTTGTGGGTTGTGTGACTTACTTTTGATACAATCAGCGCGGTAGTCAATGTAAAGATCTTTCTCTCCATTGTCTAGACGTCTTTTGAGTTCCTTGTGGAGTTCACGGGATCGGATTCTTTGCAGTATGGATAAGTCTGGTCTTGAGCTTTTTGTGGTTGGGATTGTTTTTTGCAATGGCGTTTATTATATGAATGAATATGCGTTTGCTGGACTCATTTTTGCAAACAACTCTACAAAATTTTGGGGCCACCGAGCCCTCATTGTATTTGAACTCAGAGCCATCTCTGGTTATTTCAATGATATCTTCAGGAGAGATGTTGTTGTATTTGAGTTGCTTATGATATTACGAACTTTGGTGATGTCATCTGATTCGTTGGTGACTTCAAGACCAAATAAGATGGCATTTGGACGTTTCTGATCACGTTCAATGGTGTCTCTGATGAGTAAGGAGATAACATTTGTGGAATTGTGGAATTATCAGGGTAAGATGTTTTGTTGAACTGGTTTGCTATGGCTTCTAACTTAGAAATTTGGTATAACAAAATGAGGAAGTATTATTTAATTTAAGTGTACAAAAAGAGGTATAAAATCCTTTCTGACTTGACCTGATGGACAGATTGCTTCAAATAGAACTTACTCTCTAGGTCATTCCTTTTCTGCCACAGAGCCTACCTTCTGGAGTAGGCTTCATGTAAAAATCTGTATTGCACAATGCCTCCCAGCATATAGGAAGGATGAAAACTGAGCTGTTTAGAAAATATGTAATGATTATATATAATTATTAGGAGACATTTATATAAGTATAATTATGGGTAATTTAATATACTAATATACTACCAAGTTCTTTGGGAGTGTGATGGTATATAAATAAGTACATGTTCCATTCTCTCTGTATAAGGCATTCATTATGAATTGTGGATTTATAGCTGTTTTGAGGAGACAAGCAAATGGGAAATTACATCACAGCAAGATTTTATATGCTTGGGAGAAAGGCAAAAGAAGTTCTAACTTATTAACTTATCCATCATATCTGTTCTAGTAATTCATTTACTATGGTATTGTCAATTACAAATGAGAGCTGAAAATAGATACTACCTGTTAAATGTCATAAACCATTAAATTGTTTCTTTATTAAACATGCTTTATTTTCCAGAGTTATTTCTATAATGATGACACTTTTAACTTTAACTATGCACAAGCCAAAGCTGCTACTGGTAATACTAGTGAAGCTGAGGAGGTATGTATCTGCTTCTTGAAAAGATCCCAGACAAGTTTAAAAATAGTCGCTGCTTACATTCTGTATCATAGTTTCTATATCTGACCTTTCTGAAACTTCAAGGATTTGTGCATCCTTTCTTAAAGAATGTGGAGGTTGTTGTGAATAATAGGCAATAACCTTTTAAGTATTCAATATATGCATAACCTTATGCAGAAGGTAACAATACTAGACAGCAGCAAAATGTGTTTTTTTTAATACTAGGAACTGTACTGAACCTTGTCTTGGGGTCACACTTCCATAGTATATGAAGTTAGAAAAAAACAAAAAGAGAATGTGGAAGATTGATTAATTGCTAATACAGTATAATTTATAATTAAAGATTTCTCATAATTACAGACAATATAAACAAAAAACTTACTTATTGCAATGTAATAGCAGAATCTGATATTTTATTCATGTAACATATTGAGAAATAGAAGTAAATTGTCTGCTGCTGAAATTAAAGGATCTTATGGTTGCTATTTCCCTCTTCAAATTTAATTCTATGCATGAGTTGTACAACTGCAAAAGAATACTCTGTTTTGAAGAACGGATACATACATGCATGGATGAAAACATACAGTATAAGATATGCCCCATTTGTCCTTAACCATGCCTCAATAAAAGCTCCAGAATGTTCCAAATAAAATGGCAAAAAAAGCTATTTTGAGAAATTTGCTTATTTGTTGACTCTATAAACCGCTTAGAGAGGGCTGTAAAGCACTGTGGAGTAGTATATAAGTGTAAGTGCTATTGCTATTTCTAATGAAAAAGTTATGCCCCTTGAAGCTTAGTTTTTTTAAAAAAAAGATCAACTTGAATTATCATTTGACAAAGTAAGGATTAAAGGTTAAATAATTAGTTATTTTTTCTTTTTAAATAACAATCTATATATTACGTTAGAGCAGTGGTTCCCAAACTTTTTCAGTCTACCGCCCCCTTGGTGCTACAAACTCATCCTATGTGCCCCCCACCCAGGGGTGGGATTCAAATTTCTGTGGGCGTGGCCTAATTTGAGGGTGTGGCTTGATCATGTGACTGGCTGGCATGGCTTGCTGGTCACATGACTGGGTAGGTGTGGTTTGGTGGTCATGTGACTGGGTGGGCATAGCCAGGTGACTGGCAAACAAGTGGTCCTCACTTAATGGCCGGTTGTTTAGAAAGTTTTCTAATTTATGACTGGCCTTTCCAGAGATACTTGACCTGTTTTTGGAGTTTTGACAGTCATGCACACACATACACACACACACACTCCCTTCTAACCCTGCTGGAGGAGGTCATTGGACTAGAATCGGCAAAGCATCTCTGATGAGATTCTAGTAGTGAATAAAATGTAATCAGAGATGCTTTGCCGATTATTGATTTGTTTTATTTGTATCTCTTTTTTTATGTTGCTCAATTGCATTGACATGCGTGTCCCTTCTTGTGCACAACCCAGAAGCGTTTGTGATTCTTTGCAGCAAAAATTACCGACCTCTGGCTTTGCTCTATTATCTAGTAATTTTTGGGAAAGTAGAACAAAGCCAGAGTGGGAACTGAAGTTCACACAAGTTGCCAAGATTGATAAACACGGGTTAAATATATCAACCCAGCCATTCTGGTTTAGAGTTTAGCATGCTGTTTGATTCTGGCTTAGTCATGGCTAAGATCTTCCTGCTCCTTAATGCAGCTGCCCCTCTGCCCCTTCTCCAGCCCCCTGCCCCAGTTCTTTCTTTGGCATCCAATTTTGCAATGCCAACCTCCCCGGAGCAGCGATGCAGCCGACTTCACCCTCTTTGCTTCAACCCAAGGTCTACTTCCATCGGGCCAAGCAAGGGGAGGTACTCTGCACATGCTCAGAGACTCCCAACTTCAGAGAAGCATTCCGCCCATCTTTACGCTCCACCCAGGAGGAGGAAGGCATGAGGAAGCAGCCCAGACTGGCGGAGGCCGAGGGAACGATCACTTGGAAACAAAGCAAGCAAACAAGCAAGCGCAGGGCTCGGTCGGAAGAACCGGGCTGCAGAGGGAGGCTAGGTTCTAGGTCCGGGACAGCCACGTAGAACCGAACCGAGCCACGTGCCTTGGAGAGCTGTAGCTGTACCCACCTGCATCCTGCACGCAAGCCCGGCTGGCTGGAGAGGCGGACGCCGGGCGGGCGCTGTCTGCTCCCTTCTTCTCTGGGGAAGGGGGCCCTAACGCTGGACCACCCACCCCTTCCACTGCGCACCTTGGGAGGGTTTTGCTTTCGGGCCTTCTGGTGCGCCTCCGCCACTTCCACCGGAAAGGGTAGCCTGCAAGCTAAGGCGCCCCCTTTCCGCTACCTCCCACCTCTCTCTCACTCCCAGGCTTGGCAAGGCTCACCGCACGGGGGTTCTGCATTCGAGGCACCGGCTACGGAGTGATGAAACAGTCAATGGGCTGTGTAGCCGGCAGTCAGTGAGCCTGTGGGGCCGGCGCCTCGAACGTCCCCCCTTGCCTCTTAGTGCCCCCCAGCCAGCCCCCTTGCCTCTTAGTATCCCCCTAAGGCATCCCACCGCTCCCAGGGGGCGTTACCACCCACTTTGGGAACCACTGCGTTAGAGTTTTTGGAAAACAATCTAGACTCATTCCCAGACTTAGACATGTTTTGATCCAGGCTTTCTAAACTGCTAATTGTTCCCATTCAAAAGAGCCATAAATATTAGGACTATAAACTTCCTTTTTTACACCTCTGCTTGGTGTAAATCCTGGGGGTCTTTTGATAAGGCAAATTATTGAATAAATAATTATTGAATGAATTACTTTTTTTACTTAAGGGAAAACTATATTTTCATGTCTTAAACTTTTATAGCTGTTGAATCTTTAGAATGACACACCCTGATTTGATTGAGGGCATGTATTGCAGAACTACATTTAATATGAACAGAAGCTTGGTTTTCTTTGTTTCCTCTCAGATGTTCCTCCTGATTCAAAGTGAGAAAATAAAGAATGACTTTGTTTACCTCAGTTGGCTAGCACGCTGCTGTGAGTCACTCTGCTCTGTTATAAAATATGTATTGACCTAGTAATCTCATCCCTTAAATTATTTTAAATGAAATTAAGTATATGTAAATTTAATTACTTTTTAAGCTAGAAAGTTTCTTTTCTTACAAATTCTTTTAAGAACCAATTTTCCAAGGTTTAGACTTGAAATTTATGCTTTACAGATAGGCCAGTTCTTTAAGATAATTTATAGAAAATGTTGTCCCCAAAGTGCTTTTTCAAAAGGCAGTTAGGACTTTGTTTTTCTTTGAAGACATTTCGCTTCTCATCCAGGGAGCTTCTTCAATCCACTCCAAAAAGAATAATCAGGTCTCCGATAGCTTCCTGAATGTCATCAGGGTGTGAGATGTCATCCCACACTGTGGAAATATTCTAGAGAACCGGTGACTAACATATCACTAACACAGTATTCCAACTGTGTGAAGCCTTCACAGTCCAGGAAAAGGCCCAAGTGCCGCACTAGATGTGCCTTTGCAAAGAATCCTTTGGCCATAATTGCCATGGTTGTAGATAATCTATCTCCTTCAGGATCCTCTATAGTTGAAGTTCAATCGTCTTCTCAACAACCTTAAAGGGAAGAGTGGGGATAAAAATCATCATGGATTGTTGGGTCCAGCAATAACTTCTTGAGGAGGGGATAGTGTTGTTAGGTTGTATATTTTAATTGGTTTTAGAACTATTTTTATAAATTAACATCAGTAGCTATAGTCACCAGACAGAGTCACTTTATAAAAATCTTTCTATGTGTTATGTAAATAGTTATCAGTACCATATTAAGGTTTTCCAATAAGTAATTGGAATATTATTACCGTATATACTCGAGTATAAGTCGAGTTTTTCAGCCCATTTTTTGTGCTGAAAAAATCCCCCTCGACTTATACTCGAGTCAGATTCCCCTCTGAAAAAAAAAATGGTGTGGAGTCGCTGCCGCCGGAGCGGCCCCAGTCCCGCCGCCTCGGGAAGGGAAAGGCAAGGCGCTTTTTGCCTTTCCCTTCCCGGCCGGGGCTGTCGGGAGTCGCTGCCACCGGCGCGACCTCAGTCCCGCCGCCTCGGGAAGGGAAAGGCGAAGCGCTTTTTGCCTTTCCCTTCCCGGCCGGGGCTGTCTGGAGTCGCAGTCCCGCCGCCTCGGGAAGGGAAAGGCAAAGCGCTTTTTGCCTTTCCCTTCCCGGCCGGGGCTGTCGGGAGTCGCTGCCGCCGGCGCGACCTCAGTCCCGCCGCCTCGGGAAGGGAAAGGCCACGGCTTGGAAGGCCGCCGCTGGAGCGAAGCTGCGCGCAGCCGCTGCGCTAGCATCGGATCGGGCGCGCCGGACGGTTCCGACCGAGCCCCGAGCGTCGTCTTTGGCGCCCGCCCAGCACCGCAGAGCTCCCTGTACCGGGAGAAGGGAAAGACCCCCCCCGGGGCGGGGCAGGGAGAGGAGCTTCTCCCACCCGCCCCTCTTTCCGCGCCCACCGGTGTCCCCGCAGGACGACCCCCGCCCCGCAGTCGCCGCCGCTTGAAAGAGACGGGCCGGGGGTGGGTAGAAAGGCGCCGGGCGCCCTTGGAGGAGAAGGTCCCGCGTTCGCCTGTCTGCCCGCGGATGTCAGCGGAGCTTTGCCGCTGCTTCGTCCGGGGTCTCTGGGCAAACACGTCCACCCGAGCGGGGCTTGTCGCCTCCAGCACGCAACGAGCGCTGCCCTCGGATTCCCTGTCCGGTTGCCCCCCTTTTGAGGGCGATGGCAGTAAACTGTTCCCATAGCAGCGGCTGCTCCGCTGACATCCGCGGGCAGACAGGCGAACGCGGGACCTTCTCCAAGGGCGCCCGGCGCCTTTCTACCCACACCCGGCCCGTCTCTTTCAAGCGGCGGCGACTGCGGGGCGGGGGTCGTCCTGCGGGGACACCGGTGGGCGCAGAAAGAGGGGAGGGCGGGAGAAGCTCCTCTCCCTGCCCCGCCCCGGGGGGGTCTTCCCCTTCTCCCGGTACAGGGAGCTCCGCGGTGCTGGGCGGGCGCCAAAGACGACGCTCGGGGCTCGGTCGGAACCGTCCGGCACGGCTGATCCAATGCTAGCGCAGCGGCTGCGCGCAGCTTCGCTCCAGCGGTGGCCTTCCAAGCCGTGGCCTTTCCCTTCCCGAGGCAACGCGGGACTGGGGCCGCTCCGGCGGCGGCGACTCCCAACGGCCCCAGCCGGGAAGGGAAAGGCAGGCGGCGGGGACTCCCAACGGCCCCAGCCGGGAAGGGAAAGGCAGGCGGCGGCGACTCCCAACAGACCCAGCCGGGAAGGGAAAGGCAGGGGGAAAGGCAGGCGGCGGGGACTCCCAACGGCCCCAGCCGGGAAGGGAAAGGCAAAAAGCGCTTTGCCTTTCCCTTCCCGAGGTGACGTGAGATAGTGAGATCGTTTCCCAAATTAATTATTTTTATTTTTGAAATTTACCAGTAGCTGCTGCATTTCCCACCCTCGGCTTATACTCGAGTCAATAAGTTTTCCCAGGTTTTTTGTGTAAAATTAGGTGCCTCGGCTTATATTCGGGTCGACTTATACTCGAGTATATACGGTACATTTGCTCTATTCACCTAAAAAAGCTCTATAAGCAGGACCTTAGAGGATACTGAAAACTGCATACATATGATGTTACAGAACTGCTTTGCACTGAGTTTCTCATATATAATTAAAGTATTTTATCATTAAACATTGGTATCTGTTTACACATCCTTTTAAATATTTAGAAGTAGACAACTGGAACTTCCACTAACCATAATATGTAGACTTATTCTGAAGTAGGTTTAATGCCAACATAGATATTATATATTGTATTCATAGATCAGAAAGAAGAAACTGATAGTGTAAATCAGGAAGGTAACTGACTTTATTTTCACATAAAAACTCACATGTATGATCTGTTCAAATGCTCAGTCTACTGTGCGCTCAAACTGAAACTACCCATGATAATCTAGAGCTCATTGTCATATAAAACTTTTGGGTTGGCATATATTTTTTAAAAATCGTTTTTGTAATTTTCCAGTTGACTTAATCGGTGTGGCTATGTTACTTCTCAATTCATCTGAACAATCAATGTAAAGAACAATACTGCTGAGTAATATCCTTATCCAGATCTAAACACTGTGTAGCAACATGCCTCTACTAGTTCTAACTTTCTGTTGATTGCAGATATTATGAATAAGAAACCAAGATTAGCCTGGGAACTCTACCTAAAGATGGAAACTTCAGGAGAATCCTTTAGTCTTCTGCAACTAATTGCAAATGACTGCTACAAAGTATGTTGTCTTTAATCTATTTTCCTTCACTATCTAAATCAATCCTGTAGAATTATAACTTTTTTTCTTCTCAAGCCATGTATTTTTTTTTTAATAAATTGACTTCTACACTTTTCTGTTGTTAAATCCCATTTCTTACAATCAGAAGTTATATGATATAGGCCTTATAAAGCAGTTTGTTAGTTTGGAGTTTTTATGATGCAGGAAGCTGTCTCAAGAAATAAACCGTGCTGACTACTTTTCCTATGATCATACTGAGACATCTTAAGAAAGATTATTTTTGCCTTTCACTGACTAAGTCCCTTGTGCATGCACCCCGCCCGCCTCACCCATTTTTGGATTCCAGGTTGATGCAGGAGGCCTCCCAGGCCCAAACTGGGTGTGGGGGGTGCGCGCACATGCTCGGACCCCCAAAATGCAACATATGCCCTGCCCCCACGCATGCGCATGCACATCCCCACGTGCATTCCGCCCCTGCACATGTGCAGCAGAGACCTGAAAACCAACTGGTTGGTGGGAGGTGCGTGCACATGCGCAGTGGAGCTGGGCTGGGGTGATGGTAGCATGCCCACAGAGGGCTCTGTGTGCCACCTGTGGCACGTGTGGCCTGCCCTGTAAGTGTTGGTGGGAATAATCTTAGTGGTTTCCTGATTGAGCTGTTTTTATTAATAGCTTGTTTGGCAGTTCCTTGATTAGGATATTGTTTGCTTCTTGATTGTTGGTCAGATCTAAATCTTGATGTTAATCTCTCATCTGGATGCTTCTTGGTGAAGGGGCTTTTTGGGTTCTGTTCTTTCCTTTTCGCTTTTTGATTGTCTTTTTGGAATGGTATGTAGAAGTTGTTTGTGTCTGTATGCTTGTTGATGCCAGATTTGTCTGGAATTCTCTAGTGTTTTTTAGACTTGGCTTGGTCTCGGATGCTCATAGTTTCCAAGTTGAAACTATGCTTAAGTCTGTCCATGTGTTATGAAATTAAGGAGTTTTCATCATGTCATCTGACTGCTAGTTTTTCATGAACCTGCTCTGCTAGTCTTCTACTGGTCTCCTAGTTTGATAATAAAATGTCTGCAAGAAAGCAACCAAGCTCAGAGAACACCAAGAGCTCCATAGTTCAACACTGAGCTACAAATCTTGTATCAATAAATAATGTATGACATTGGAAAATATTTATTTCTTTAACTTGAAAACAAAGTCATAAATTTTATCTGGCTTTCAAATCATGAACAAGAAAAATTCAGTGTCATCATTCATTCCTCCTTTTATGTTGCTATGTATTCAAATTTTGTTTTATGCAGTGTTTCTGCCTTAAGCACGTACCTTTATCTTCTGCACAGATGGGCCAGTTTTATTATTCTGCTAAAGCTTTTGATGTCCTTGAAAGATTGGATCCTAACCCTGAATATTGGGAAGGCAAAAGAGGAGCCTGTGTTGGTATCTTCCAGATGATTGTTGCTGGCAGAGAGCCTAAGTATATACACTGAATTTCTTTCTACTACTTTGGAATACTACTCTGGCTGTTTAATATTATAGTATTGTTGGTTTGTTACTGAATACAAATGCCAATTAGAAATGCCAATTAAGGAACTCAAGGCCTTTAAGCTTTGATTCCGGTAAATTGTGTATTATGAATGGAAGCCTTACCTTTATTAAAATACAGGTAGTCCTCAAGTTAAGACAAAGTTCGCTTATGACAATTCAAAGTTACAACACCTCCCAAAGTGCTTACAACCCAGTTTCAAAGTCATGTGTGTTGTAACACCGTGGTAATTATTCGCCCTTATGACCAACCAGAGAGATACTGCAACATGCCTCCTGCCTGTTTCCTCCCCATACTGCCTTACCAGGTCTCCACAGGAACTGAGCCTGCTTTGCTAGCCTACCAGGTTCCACATGCTCCTCCCTACCTTATCAGTGATTGCTCACTTACCTTGCAAAGCTCTCCAACGTTCCAGCACAGGCTTGGGCACTTGACAGAAAAGCAGCCATTTTTTTCCTCAGACGCTGGCAAAGCTGTTTTATTTAGACCTTGCATTCTTACACATGCTCATTTTTGTGCAGAGGTCAGGATAATTTGTAAGAATGCAAGATCTATCATATCCCTGCAGGCCTCATCTGGTCCTGGCCTGGGTGGCTCTTGGGGCGCTCTCTGAGCACTGCTGGATGGTTGGTTTGAATGAGCTGTTTTGGACATTGTAGTGTGAAGATGGCAGCAGCAGCTAATCAACATGGGACATTTTTTGTGCTGGTTTTGGCTAGAGGAAGAGGAGAAGGCAAGACTGCAGGGTACTTGGGCAGCCAGCTGGGGCGGCAGCAGCAGAGCTGAACCGGAGCTGCTGCACCATCACTGGGGATGCCTGAGCTCCTCACAGCAAGCCAGTTCAGTGCAGCCATAGAAACTTCACACCCACTATGCTCACTCGTCTCCTGCAGTGACTTGGGTGCTGGAGTCCAGGACACACTTCCTGGCGGTGGTGGGCAGGCACTACCACAGCTGTCTGTGTCCCTGGGAGAATCATCCTCTCGTCCCCACAGCCTTCAGATGCCTTTCTGCCCATCCGATCTCCCCCAGGACACACCCAGCAAGCGTGGGGCAGATGGTGCACCAAGCTCTCCACCTCTCCACCCGTCTCTGCAATACTGCAGCTGTTGAGGTCTGGGCAGGTTTGGCTTTCCATTATGTGATGGAGCAGATAAGGGCTACAGAGACTGAAGAGGTGGATTGGTGCACCAGCCACCCTATATTTGCCAGGCACGCCCCAGGGGAGATCAAGCAGGCAGAGAGGCACCTGTGGGTCATGGGGGTCACCAAAAGGGAGAGGATGAGTTACAGGGGGGAAATTAACCTAACAGACAGGTTATACAGTCAGGGGGAATAAAAATAAAAATGAGTAAGTTTCAAAAATTAAAATTAGCTGGTCAACAGAAAAGTCCCTGATTAAAAAAAGTGATTGCATAAAAGGCATCAGAGGAGTTAAAGAACATTCTTATGTCACATAATTTCTGGGAATAGCCATAAAGAATGTCCTTTCTCATGTACAGGTTCTTCTTAATGTTTCTAACTAGAAACATCTGTATATAATCAGCAAGATTGACATGCATTTTTAAAAAATGGTATTACTGAAGCTAAACCAAACCTAGGCTGCCCTCACTATTAATCTGCCTGATGTCCCAAAAATGTTTTTTCAAGAGGCAATTGGTCTTTCTGATTTTTCTTTGAAGATGTTTCGCTTCTCATCCAAGAAAGTCAAACGTCTTCAAAGAAAAACCAGGAAGTCCAGTTGTCTCTTGAAAAAGCACCTTTGGGACAACTGACCTGGATGACTGAGAATCTCCATAGACATTTAGACTGCCTGAGGTTAGATTTTTTGAACCTTAACTATATCTCTGATCACCAGAAGCAAATAATTCCCAGGAAAACAAACATTTCCAGACATATTTTGTGACACAATATCCCATGAATTGTATTAAAGACCAATTGTACAATTGTCAGACAAGATTATAGTGGACAAATTACCTGAACCCATTAAAAGATGTTTGTAACTACTAATAAGCATACTTCTATATGCTGCCTTGGGCTCCTACAAAAGGTGGGATATTAAATAAATGTGTGACTACAAATAAAAAGGATCCTGGACCATCCTTAAATGGTGAACCTGGATCATCCCCAAACTTTATCAATGAAAGTTTTCATCCAGACAATTTTATCTCGCAGTGACTGAAATCATACACCCATGTTGTTTCCTTTGCAACATTAGAAAGGGAGTGCTGTTGCCTTCTTCGTGATTTTTTTTTTTACTTCCCAGTTGACCAATAAGTAACCAATATGCAAATCGATATAATTTTTAATCATTACTTCCTCAATTTTCCTACTTCATGCTCCAGGCTAAGTGTAGAGTTGTTCTCATAATGCTAACCAAAAAGTAATTAAATTAAATTCTACTTTATTGTCACAGTATTAATCATAATAGATATATCTGCTCTTTTGGCAGAACTTCATCCTACATTGATGCTTTTGATATAAAATTTCTTTCTCTCTGTTCTGTATTCTAAAATTGAAAATTTTCAGAATGCAGAGCAGAGAAAGAAATTTTACATTCAAGCGCCAATATAGGGTGAAGATAGGAGAAATCAAATCAGCATCATGGATAGCCACTTACTCCTATTGAATACATAATAATTTATGAGGCAGAATTTTGGGCTTCTAGTTCCTATAAAATGTGAAATATCACTTTTTCTGATTCCTATATGAAACTTTATTTTATCCATTACATGAAATCAGAGAAATTTAGTTTCTAGCAATTGGACTGAAGAAAATACTCCAAAACATTTCAGGTGTAACATACTTAGATGTTCATAATATTGTCTGATCTATTCATTCTCTTAAAAAATCTTTATTTCTTTGCTTTTAGAGATACTCTAAGAGAGGTAATGCATCTCCTGAGAAGTACAGGCAACCCCCAGGTAGAGTACATTATACGTATAATAAAGAAGTGGGCTAAGGAGAATAGAGTTCCTGTTTAAACAGTGATCAAGCGAATGGAAGTCTGCCATCTATATTGTGCCCGGCTGGAATACTGTGTCATTTTGTAGCAATACAAAGATTATAAAAATACAAATCTATTTATTTTTACATATATTTAAATGTCTTTCATGAAAACTATACGTCATGTATTGTGAGGAGAATCTCATTTTGATTCTATTATACTTCTCCCAAATTTTATTTTATGTTACTATTACTGTTGTAATATTAGTTGTACATATTAGCTTTAATCTTCACCATCTTTTCACTGTGTGACAATCAGTACTTTTTGAGACAGTTCAAAAACTTGCAAAATACTTATTTTCCCGGGTCTTATTTGGAAGCAGAATATCAAAAGAACTCTAGAATTAGATTTCAGATTTTAGTTATAAAAGTTCCTCACAAAGAATCGGAAGCTAAACATTTAAAATGGAACACAATAATAATCCGATTTTGATTATGATCTAATGGACACATGGAAAAGTATTGTAAATAAATAATGTTCCACTTTCATTTGCATAAAATATTACTGTTCATATCTTCATCTGTTTCTATATTTTTCTTTCTGATTAAATTAGGGCTGTAAACTTGTCATTCTGTGATGAAATGCATTGGGAAAGTTAAAAGTTGGTTTCAGAATATATTTAATGCCTAAGGAAAAATGTCTAAGATACAAAAGAACATTGGAAATCCATGATAGAATATATGCTTATCTACTTGTACATGTTCTATGTAAATAATATAAGTTGATGCTGTATGTTCATTACAATTTTTTTCAGTCTCTCCTGCATTTAATTCTGGAGCAAAATTCCAAAATAAATTCATTTATAAAATCACCTGTGAATTCCTTTTTATTCTTTGGGTATGCCATATGGCTAGGTTTGGGGTTTGGTTAGTTTTTAAAATTCCTTTTCTTTTTTGTATTAAACCACTCAAGGCCATTTTGGAATTAAGCAGCATATATCTTGCAAAAATAAATCCATTACATGTATTACTTTGTATAATTGGAATGATTTTACATAGTTAAACCAAGAAGCTTTGTGCCTTTCAACTTTGTCTCTGAAATTAGATATTAAAAGGGGGAAAAAAGAGCTAACTCTACCTTCTGCTTTGTCTTAGCATCTGAAATTTTTTACACTAGCTCATATTTAAGTTTTGCACTGTACTAAACAAGAACATTAACACTTTTTAGGATGGAAAGTTTCTTCGAATTGCATCTTAAAAACAAATAATGAAATACGGTGTTTGGTAATTAGTTAATGCCATGTTAAAGGAAACTGGTATTAAGATAGGAAAAAAATCATGCACCAAGGATAGAACGTTCACAACTTTTTCAGGTACTAAATGGTTTTTACGACCATCTTCACTTGCTGTAAACTACAAAAAAAATATGAACAGGAATGACTAGGCACTTGGTAGCTGCCATATTAGCGCCGCGTTCCTGAGGAAGTTAATTCTTTTCCGGAGACACACAACAGCAAAGAAAAGTGCTCATTCGGAACTCCGCGAAGACTTTAAAAGTTCGGCGTATGCATTTCCAAGGCAACTGTGGGCGGAGCCGTGTCGTCTTCAACGTGCGATCTTGGTGACGTACTAAAAAAAACCCACCTAATCTAGCACAACAATGACGTGAGCAGCGCGTCTGTGGAGGATTCTGCCTTTGCGCATGCGTGCCCTAGTAGCCTGCTTCTATTTACGTGGGGGGGCTCCAAGATGGCAGCGATGTTATCGGCAAGGAGAGGCTAGTGGGGAAGAGGGGAGGTACTCTGACCTGGTAAAGGGGGAGGGAACGGGCGGAGGAGGAGCTGGGGTTGTGGGTGGCGAGGTTGGGTCACCGAACAGGTGGGAAGGGGGGTGGGGGGGTTGGATGATGGCGGAGCCGCGTCGGGTGCCGTTCATTAGTCTGTCACCCGTGAGGCGACGAGAAGGTGAGTCTCCGGTGCTAGAGCGAGAGACTGGAGGGGCCCGCGAGGCAGAGCAGCCATTAGCGCGTGAGGGCCTGCAACTACCAGATCAGCAAGAGCACCACCATCACCACCACCCCTATGATAACAGTCGGTTAGAGCCGCCATCGCAACCCTTTGAATCTTGTCCTCGGCCAGAGTCTCATCCTGTGTCATTACCGCGGGAGATCAGTCGGCCTGAGCTGACACCAAAGCCACCTCAGCCGCCACCCCACCGAGAGTCCCCAAGGCCAGAACCACCGCCGCCGCCTCATCAGCAGCTAAATCAAGAGAACAACCGACAGGAATCATCGCCGCCGCCGCCACCACTGGATCAGACGGTTCGCTTTGAGTTGATCTTGAAAGATCCCACGGAGGAGAGCTGCGTGGAGTTCAGCTATCCCGAGTTGCTCTGGAGTGGCAAGGCCCGGGTACTAGACCTGCAAACACTCGCTCTTCTCTATCTACCCTTTCTGCCTTCTGTTCTGTCAATTTTGTCCTATATGGTTCTGTTAGCATAGTCCTTAGCTTGAGTGCTGGAGGAGGAAGAGGGAGAGGGGTATAATGAGAAAGTAAGGGGGTTTAGCATTAGAAAAAAACCCTGTCAGGATGGATATAAGACCAAATTGCTACTCTGATTCAGTCAAAAGATGGTGAACCTATAAGAGCTGGATTTTCTACTGGTCTTTGAAGACCATTTGATACAAAAAGAGCCCAAAGCAAGTAAATATACCTGCGCCAGAAATATTTTGTTATAGTAAATTAGTTTTTTGGTTATGAATAAGCATAAACCTGTGGTTTTCATTTGCAGTGTTCTGTCAATAAATCATTACAAGTACTGTTATGCCTGAGCATAGTTTAAACGTTGTAGAGATTTGAAGATTTATAAAGCAGTGGTGTAAAGGCAAGCAAAAATGGGCATTTGTTTTTTACAAATTCAGGATATTGGGAAAACTAGCTTGTTGATATTGTAAATAGTTTGAGTAAATTTGTGAGAATGCTTTGTTTGTAAGTAGCCATTAGGATGAAAACCTGAGGGTTCAGGTTAAAAAATCAATCTATATTGAGATTGATTATAACTATTATGTAAATTGGTAAGTTATTAAAATCTTTTAGATATTTTTTTCTTTAGATCTCAGTATCTTGAATCTGTTGTATAACTTTTGAATGTGATATTAAAAGATATTTGCAGGAGATTGGGGAACATTAAAGACCAGTAAAATGTTTCTTTGAAATAAGAGAGAGAATCTGATGTTAGTAATAAAAGAAGCACTATGTATTAATGAAACTGTTAGATATCCCTTCAGTCTTCATAAAATATTTTTATTATGTTCCCTTTTAATATATGTAAAATAGAGGTGGATATCTAAATTACTTTAATCTCAGATTATCACAGTAGTAAGCCTGTACTACTGCTTTGTTTAGTCCATATTGAGAAATTTTAGCACCCTAAATATTGGTGATATTTAGATTGCTAAATTTAGGGATATACATCTAAATATTGTTGGATTGCATTTCACATTGGCTCTTACTTTTGGGCAATTTAGGGCATTGGGAGATGGATTTAACCACTCTAGGCTATGTTGCCCATTTTCAACTGAAATTGATGGTTACAGTAAAGTTATAAGGTACTCTAATTATTTCAGTGACTATTTGCATTATTTAAATATTTTTTGCCTACTTATAGTGAGTATTTCCTACTTTTGATCACATTTTGGTGAATTTAGCCCCAATAATGCATTTAGAAATGTTGGTGCAGCCTAATTCATAGCAACCGAGGCCTTATGCAGTGTTTTTGTTATTGTTTTGAGAAATGGGCCATCTCTATTTGTAACCCACAGTCCCTTTTATGTTGCTAAGAATCTAAAGTTAATTGAAATATTCTAAATTATTTTTTCACTTACAGGGAAGTTTACTATGTAAACAAAGTGATATATTATTTTACTATTTGTGGATTAAAAATAGACCATTGCAAAAAGATGTCATTGAATTACTGACAATTATTTTTAAGTGTTGACAAGATCTGATCTGTAGCAATTTCTACTATACTACATAATAATACTCAATACTATTATCAAAATTAACACTATACTTAATATTTATCATTAGGAAATAACTTTTTCTGTGATTTTTTTAAGCAATCTGTTTCTCTTTGTATGTTGTTGGTTGGTATTAAGAATTCTACCAATTGTCCCTCATCCTTCTTCTGCTGTTATAACATGAAATGTAGTACAGATAGTCCTCAACTTATGGCCACAATTGAGCCAAAATTTATGTTGCTAAGTGAGACATTTGTTAAGTGAGTTGTGCCCCATTTTATGACCTTTCTTTCCAGAGTTAAATGTATTATTGCAGTTGTTAAGTTAGTAACACAGTTGTTAAAAGACTCTGGTTTCTCCATCGACTTGGCTTGTCAGAAGGTTCCAAAAGAAATCACAACCCCGGGACACTGCTACTGTCACAAATATGAGTCAGTTGCCAAGGATGTTAATTTTGTTCACATGACCATGAAGTTACAGCAACATTCATAAGTGTGAAAAATGGTCGTAAGTCCCTTTTTGTAAATGTCGTTATAACTTTGAACAGTCACCAAATGAACTATTGTAAGTCAAGGATTACCCATTCCTCTTTTGCTATATATTTTTCTTTTTGTTGCTATAATTTATCCTTTTCTACATGGAATTGTTCTTAGAGTACTGCAGGCCAACATTAAGTTCATAGTAATTTGGATGTTTTGCTTGAAGGTATATTTCATTATTGTGAGAGTTGTATTAAAAGGGATCAAAATAAAAGCAAGTAATGATAATATCTGAATGCAAATATTCCCATAATTATTCAAATCACATTTTGCAGAATTGTTAGTCTCATATATCTAATATTATCCCAGGTTTAAGACAAATAGGTCTTCATCCTGGGATAATAGGTGAAATAGTCAACAAATGAAAAACCTAGGTGAATACAAAAAAATGGTACATAAGTAATAGTGTATCCCTAAGTATAATTTTATCCAAGTGCATTTTGTTCTTATGCTGTTCTATCTATTTGGGAAGGTGAGACTACTGAACTTTTGTAAAGCAATAGACATCCAAATACCATACTATTAATACTACTATTACTAGTTCAGAAGAAGAGTTCAGTTAGTTTCATGCTTGTGGAATTGATTCATGTGGAAGTTCCAAATCTGTATTTTTTTTTCTTTTCTCACATAACAAAAAATGACAGTTTGATTACCATGAATGTAAATATTTAAACATATTTTTTATATCTATATATTGTTTTATATTAGGAAGGGTAAGATAGTTATTTTATTTTAAGGTTTAAAAAGTCTTACTTGGTTTAAATAAGATAATTTATAGTATCTTTAATTGCATGGCTGGGCAACCTGAATCCTCAAAGCTGCTTGTGGTCCAGAAATCTTTTGCTGCTCTTAGAGTCCATACATTTTCACAGAGATAAAAGATGAACATGAAATAATATGATTAAAGAAAAGAATACGATAAGACAGTAGAAAAGCCATAGATTAGTGATTTATGTGAGTCAAATGTGACTGGATTCATATAGTAAACCATGGTTTAAGGAGCAGTAAATTAATTTAAAGCCAATATTAAATTATTGGTAGTTTAGTACAATTTGTAAATAGCCGTAGGGCCATAGGGCTTATTTTTTCTACTTTGATGAGAAAGCAATTAAAAGAGATGGTAAGCAACATCTAGTCATAACATAGTCACTGATCCTCAAGATTGATTCTGATTCAATAGATCATTGTTAAACACTCTTTAACAGTTTAATGATTGACTACAGCCACTGAATTTACATTTATGTGCTTGGACAATGAGAAGGGCACATCCATTCTTTGAAGTACGGTTATATTCTGTTTAAAACAATTCAGCTGTGGATTAATCTGGCTTGTTTCAACAAATAAGGTTTTAATATATTAAACTATGATAAA